ATAGTTCATTTGAAATAAGATGAAATTTAGCTATTTGCAATTGTCTTTTGCTCCTATCTGAAATATGGATACCTACGTATTGATAAAACAACTTAAAATTAAGCCCTTTCGCCACGCTATGATACCTAAATATTGGGTTTTATAGTGCCAATTCATATAATTGAAATATAAAGGGTATAATAAACAAATTGTCCTACTAGGAAACACAATGAATTGTTTTATATGTGTGTCGACATTATGGGTACAAATTAAAAAAAAATGGTCATCAAATTGTATTATCTTGATTCATTTATTTTTTTCCTAAGATAATATCTTTCCATGCATGTTTCGTCTCAGTATACGTTTTAATAGTCATATTTAATTATTTTATAATAGGTTTTTCTTCAACATACAAGTTATTTATATATTTTATTCTTCATGATGAGTTATATTTCTAATCGTTCTGATTATCTTTGATGACAAACAATCTACAAACAATGAATTGTTTCATATCATGTATACCTTATAACAGCGATTCTCAACCGGGGACTTGCCAACAATTATTTTAGGATCGTCAAACCATGTGGGAAAAAATTGTTTCACTTAGAATTTTATAATTAATATTAAGTGTTATAATGTATATATATATTTGGATAGTACCTTTTTTTGTGAAATATATATACACAAACTAGCTGACCCGGCCACGCGTTGCTGTGGCTAAAGTCCCGGAGTCCACTATGCTTTTTCACGCAGATGGTATTTGTAAAAAAATATGGTGATCTCCTTATTTGACTTTCTACTACTATAACCCTTTAGTACAATGACATTATTTACTAACAAAGACGAAAATGTTGATGTTGGTATACAAATTCACTGGATTGAGATTTGAAGGGGAAGTACGTTGAACACAATTAATTAAAATGTTCTTACACTTGATATTAAGCAGAAATCAATAGGTACAAAATAAAAATTTATCAGATTTATTATTTCCATTTAATTTTATAACAAATATAAGTATATTACAGTATAATACAGTAAATAACATGTGACGCTTAAACTCATGAATGAGATAGGCAAGGCAGACAGTCTTAAACTTTTAAACATTAATATCTATTTTTTTGAATTATAAATACTTTCAATTTCAATTTAATTTAACACCAA